ATGTCGGCTCGATTTCTAAAAAAATTAACACGAAAGTAGATGGAAATTTTTAATGACAACATAACCACTCCTATTTTATGGTGAACTTTTCTCAGGTCGCTTGACCTTGAGATAGTTAAGCTGATTAAAAGTGATAACAAAAATCAAAGCAATGATTATAATAAACGATGTTTTTTCTATATATTTTTGTACGTGTTGTCAGGATTTAATAATTCTGATAACTTTATACGAATGATAACATTATCCGTGAACACAATAAGCGGCATCCACTGCATTCGTATTCTAAAAGTATAAGAATAAGAATTAAAAACGGATATTAACGTTAATTTGCAAATGGTCCACCACTACCTGATCATCTCATTTACATAGTATTGCGCTTTTTCATGGTACTTCTTAGGTGGCAGCACAATAAGAGGTAAAAAAATGGCTTCCACTCCAGAGCAAGTTGTTTGTACGCCGACCTTTGTTTTCCCGGCAGCTTTTCCGGGTATGGATTTTTAGATGTATCATTTTATATTTTTTTTACATTTGTGAATACAAACTTTATTTTTTACATAGTCAATTTCTCTTGAAAGTTTCTGTGAGAACTTCAAAATGTTTATTTCAAATTGCGATTTTAAGCCTAACTATGTTTTGTTGAACTTAAAGAACCCCGATAACCCGAACGTTTTCGGAAGGTAGATATTTCATCCGGGGGACGAAAAAGTCGAAATACATGCAGGACACAATACTAAAGTTTACGACGCTGTGCTGCGAAGGCAACATAGTTTGCTATCTGCACGGTGTAGTAAAATTTTGTTTGCTGATTATAAATACAGATTAAGAAAATATTATAAAATGAAAAAAAAAATTAATAAAGATTGGAAGGTCATTTTTCAGTCATTTTGCCCAGTGAGAACATGAGGATCGACATTACCTTCGCCAATATTGCCAAAATAACTTAAAATAAGAACAACTGAAAATGCATTCATTAATTAGGTAGTGGTACTCTACCTTTAACGTTTTAATTACGAATATGAATAAATTATTATGAAAACTGAAAGAGTTTTTGCCATAAGCTGGTAGTAATTTATGTTTGTGAGTTTTGATTGTCTATATTAATTTTGAGTAGTATATCAACAACATATAAAATTAAAAGTTGAATATAAGTGATATGTCTATGATATGTGGAAAATATTTTATAATTAATAACTTTAAAATTATTGATTACACCAACTAAGCATACAAGGATTTCATAATCTCACATCTCATTTGTGCATGCAGTTGAATAATCCTTAGAACAATACATTGATTAAGAGATTTGGCAATGTAAAATTTGCTATAAAAAGAACAGAATAATTGCTTACTACACTGGATGACTTGAATAAGTTTTTACTTTTATAGTGGAATTTCTTTGTATTAAAATGTGTCATATTATAATGTTCTCTGGTAGGTCAGAGGTAAATTTAGACTTGCAATGCTAAAAGTCGGGGTTTGATTCCCTGTGACTAGCAGAGTGTGGATAGCTCACTGTGTAGCTTCGTGCTAATTTCGAATATCAAAGTATATTTTACGAACTCTTTGAGAGTTGTATACCTCTATAAATAGATAGTTCTATAGAATTATAGTTCCCAGCTACTGAAGCGTGTGAATAAGAAATCACATTTGTGAATGTATAAATCTTGCATAAATAAAATACTAATTATTGTACACCAAACAACAAATGGAAAATGTCTACAGCACTAATACATGTTGAACATGCATAACTTATTTCAAGACAACTGTACTCCCACTAGTTTGAAATTGGCTTCAAAAAACATTGTGAAGATCTCTATTGTTGTTGTCCACCATTTGTCAGCAACAAGCAATCGAATGTTAAAACCAAAATCAGGGTGTCGGTTAGAATTGGCTGGATCAATAAGGACTAGTAATACATCAAACATTGGATCCAGAAGCAGTTACTATTTGAAAACACACAAATAAAACTTGAAAACTATTTAAAATTATTTTTAGTCATTGAATTGATAGAATCAAGGGTACACCATAAACTTGGTATTGTGGATTACATAATGCGTAAACTGATACATAGATATGTCTGCCCAACTCGAACCGTGAGCATATCAAAAAATGATAAATGGGGATTATAAACAGTCTATATGTTGCCCTGGAAACATGTTGCTTTATCTCATGTTGTTGGTCGTAAGTAGACTATGTTGTCCTATGTTTGCTATATGTCATATCATTGGGTGTGGCTTTGAAAGATATATTAATTACAAATACATTATTGAGTCGTCAAGAAATTAATGTTTTGTTTTGGAACACTTTCATTAACCCCCCCCCCAAAAAAAATTTACATCATGTATAATAGTTATATGAACCACTTAAACATCATGTTAGTGTGAAGTTAGGTATACTCTAATTACTTATAGTGATGGCACACTATGAGACATACATTTGACATGTAATGCTGTTTGCATACAAGAAGGGAAACAAAGCCTCTGTAGCCACAAAGGATATCAAAGAAGTTTATGGAAATGCTTTGAATGTTTGTAAGTGTCAACAATGATTCAACAAATTTTGTTCAGGTGACTTTTGCCTTAAAAACTGTGATGGCAGGGGCTGACATGTTGGAATTGATATTGATGCTCTGAAGATGCTTGTTGGGTCTAACCCAAGGCAACACACTCGTGAAATGGCCCAGAAATTGCAAGTCTCTCATGAAGCAATTATCACCGGTGATGAAAAATGTGTGCAAATATTAAATGCCAAAAACAATGGCTCAGTCCTAGACAAAAACCACTTCCGACCCCAAAACCTGGACTCCATCTGCAGAAAGTGATGCTTTGCATTTGGTGGGACATCAAAGGAGTAATTCATTTCAAACACCTCAATCCACAGTGAACTGTCAATGCAGAGATCTATAGTCAGCAGCTGGAACGTTTAAATCAAGCCCTTCATCAGAAACACCCTTCACTCGTCAATCGGAAAGGTGTTCTTCTCCACGACAATGCACGTCTACATGTGGCACATTTGACGCAACACAAGATTATGGAATGAGGTTGGGAAGTTCTCCCCCACCGACCATATTCTCCATATATGTCACCATCAGATTACCATCTTTTTTGTTCACTACAACACCATCTTATTGGGAAAACATGTGCAAATGTGGAAGGTGTTAAAGAGGACATCAACATGTTTTTTGCTTGAAAGCCAAGTGATTTCTTTAATCAGGGCATTAACAACCTGATTGTAAGATGGAAAAGCATCATCAATAAGAATGGAGACTATTTCATTTAATAAATGTTTCATTTTGATATCTAAGTTGTTTGGGTTTTTTCATAAAAAAAAAATGGACATTAATTTCTTGACAACCTAATAGAATGGGTAGAGGTTACTACTGGTACATACCTGTCAATCACAGTATTTCAAGTTTACAACCAATGTGATTACATAATCTCATCTATTCTTTCATAGGTACGTAGGTAAGCTCATACTTCATTATTAACATTTGGTTATTGACAATTTTCATTTTATTTATTATAATATGAATACACGTATAGGAGTTTGAAAGGGATGGACGTTAATGTGACTACATTTTATCTTGCCTTGACACAGGTGTCACACAGTATCAGGTTACCAGGTAAAGTGATAAATCACTGATATTTTGTTAACATTCCAATGGGAGGGTAGTGTGGAGCGAAAGGTCAATTTACAGGTACAAGTTTTAATTGTTTTTCATTAACTATGAACTTGCAGTGTATATCTACTAATTTGTGGCTGTGGAATCCAATAGTGTGTTAATTATTATTATTTTTTTCATTGTTTAAAAATCACTGAAACCCCTATTATAAAAGTTACATGGATATTGAAAAATGTTGGTTACAAAGTGCTTTCATGTTGACCATGTCAGTCTAATACCTTGGTAGTAGAGTTAATTTTGGGCATTACTTGTAGCTCGTAATCAAACAAATTACATGATATTTATTGATGATTCTGCTAAATGTATGAAAATGTGTTATTTTGTGGTATGACCCTTTGCATGAAGTGTGAAATAAGTTTTTTATGTATAGCAAAGAAGTTCATAAATGTTTAGTTAATCATGGGAATTAGCTAGAAAGAAGGAAAATTGTGCAGCAAGTTTTTGTGTTGGAAAAATCTGCTTAAACATTAAAGTTTGAATAGAAAAAAATAATTCTAAATTTATCAATAAAATAACTTTAATAATAAGTATAGTTATATAGTTGGAAATTAATTTATTTCATTAATTAATATAGAACAACAGATTCATTTAGGGGTAGGAATAATGACACAAGATTCGATGATTTTACACTTACGTATTAGATTTTAAATATTTTAGAAATGGAGAAAAAAATAATTTTGAAAAAATAAAAATTGAATTAAATGAGCTATAATTCTGCTACTTTTTACTGTACATTTTATGATAGTTAAGATGCTTCTCCACAAATTTAACTTAGTATGTGGTTGTACATGTATTATTTACATCACACTTTTATACATTTGAGCTTTCTTGCTCTGTTTGACAGACTTTTAGCTGAAGAGAGGCAGTTCTGATGTTTGTAACTTCAGATTCCATGGAATTAGTACTGCCTTCACTCAAACTGTACCACGTATGATAGGGTTATTTTGATTTTTCATTATCAAAAAGAGAGTAAACTTCTTTAACATGTTAGCTGCCACATAATAAATTAAGTAAAAATAAAATTAAATATTCAAAGATTGCGAGGAGAAATGACAGTGTCCAAGACTCATATGCCACAACAGAAATTTGGCTTTGAAATGTAATTGTCTGTGACCCACCAGTGTGTCACGAGGACCATAACTAAAAGTCGGTTGTGACCTTCCAGTGGGGCACATGGCAGCCAGTGTGTTAAGAAAAAAATAATTTCAAAAATATCACAGCTAGCAGTTACAAGTTTATGACTAAGGTCACATATTTGTAATTGAAGCAATCATGTCATCAGGAGCACAAAAGCATAATACTGAGTTTAAAATCTTTTATGAAGCAGTACTTAATAAAACATGAAAAAAATGTGATGGTGGAGATGCATAATAAGTTGACATAGTCCATATGATCATGTTACTCAAGAAAGCCATCAGATTTCATGTTTCACGTGATCCATGAAGTGTACTTAATGCCCAGCAAAGCCCTCCTCGTAGGCTTAAAGCTTAGAAACTCATCCCCTCTCTCTTCCCTCCATAATTTTCTTTTTAATCTACATTCTTCCAGTATTTTAGAAAGCTTCTAGAATAGTAAAATATACTAATAAGCAGTATCATCTATCAGTATTAGAGGTGGGTGATTAGTGGCATTTTGTAATCAGTTATATTCAGTTAATTCTTTATTCTTACATGAGACTTGGATATCTGGAATAATCAAAGATAGTAATAATTGGGAAAACTGATTTTGATTAGGTTATTATTTTTGTGTGTCTTGATACTAGTTGATTAAGTCGAACAACTATAAATTAATGAGAAATCAATAATGACAGTATTTTCATTACTTGGATAGTTAGAATATTCGGAAACCTCAATTTCAATTAGTTTATTATTTTTGTGACATTAACAAATTTAATTGTAATTTCAGGCAATTGATTATTTTACATGACACTAAACAGTGCACATGGATAATTTAGTTAATCATCGAGTTCTAACCAGTACCTCATTTCTTCAGAAAGCTTTACTAACTGACCCAGAATGAAGTAGATATGTATATGTTTATCGTTCATAAATGAAGACACATAACGAAACAAAAACTGAATCCCACCAAGCAAAAACCTGCTTGTTTTGTTTTTAAACTTGGAATTTTTACATCTCTCTCTTGTAATCCATATTTTGAGGAATTAGAAATAATTATCCTTTCCAAGAGCTGGGTGATTAGTGGAATCTGATAATTAGTTAATCATTGGGCTCATTAATCATTTATGTTCAATTAATTGATAATTCTCGTAAGTCTTGAATAGTTGGAGTAATCAAAAATTGTAACAATTGAAAATGCCAGTTTTGATCAGTTTATTATTTTCATAAGTCATGAGACTAGCTGAATAAACTTAGATTAATGAAAAATAATGAGAAATCATGATGCCAGTGTTGATTACTTTTAATTGTATAGTTGTAATAAATTAAAACAGTAATAATCAGAAATATTAACTGATTATTTGCATTATATTAAAAGATTTAACTGTACTTTTGATTATTTTATGTGACACTTAATTGATGCTGGTAAGTGGTTATTATATTGTTTAATTGAGTTAATCACCTATCTTGACTTTCCATTCAAGTTTAAGATATATACATGCTTTATACTTTAAAGATTTAATTTCATTAAGTTTTTTAACACTTGTTCAGCTTAATCCTACTATATTGTGAGAACATTTTGTTTGTCCTTTAACTCCTCCTGGGCTTTTGCATTTGGACCTGTCAAATGTGGTTTAGTCAACTAAAAAAAAATGATTCGGGATGTGTGAAGAAGTTATTTTTCTTTTAAAATGCAAAGACTTCCTACCTCTTGTGATGGCTAAATATAGATCAGACTGTGGAAGTGGCCACTGAGGTACTGATGGGGTTTCTCCAGTTTCCTCTTTCATTAAGTGGGATATACATATAGTCTATGTACTTTCAGTCATTACTGGAATATCTCAGTCAAAAACAGAAACACTATTCATAATTGGTGAGCATTAATTTTACAATTGCCTTTCATTTTTAAATCCCATCAATCATTTGAAGGATTTCTTTTACATTCACTGTCCTGGTAACTGAGGCACTATAAATCTGAATATGGATGATGGAAATTGGAGCAGTATATACAACATACAGTATGGAAAATGGATATATATATCTCCAACCAACAGTTTGAACATTTTATTACTTTTTTACACATCAGAACCATTTAAAATTGAAAGAGAAAGAAGGAAGATCTCTTTTCTCTGGTGAATGCATACTTCTTCCTCAAGACACATTTCTTTCAAGGTGGAGGGGGTTTTCATGAGTGATTATTCACAACTTCTCGCTGGTAATGAAAATTCAGTTTAATTATTTAAGCTCAGTATTATGCTTCAATGAGATAGAAATTACTCAGCTTACTTTTGTACTGAATATTTCCTTCCATATTTTATATTGAATGTAAGGCTGTTACTACAGAATTTGCTATGCGTGACCATATAATAAAGAATATATAACTATTTTTCCTTTCATTAATGAAGTACTGTTAATTGTCATAGACAAATCAAATGTCACTTTCAATAAAATTATTGTAAAAGTAGATATCCTCTCTACATACGTAGCAATAAAGTACCTGCATACTGACTTAGGTTTCTGCAAACACACAAACCCTTATAAAGATGTAGCCATATATAAAACAATGACAATTTTAAATCAGTAAATGAATCATATAAATGATTTGTCAACTTCATAAACCTCTCAGCATGTATTGCACAGATACATCTGCTAGTTTTATAAACTTTTAATTTTCAATGGTAGTATTAAAAGTTTTAATAAATATTTTTGCTCAGATTTTTAAAGATTTGTCTGCATTCTCCATGTTTGACTAGGAATTTTCTGAATGAAAACAGTTGTTTAAAATGTTACAGTGGTGTTGAAAATTACTTGTAGGAATGATGTTCTTTGTCTATTTATTATTACTTCAGTTATTCCTCTGTTACTTCCTGCACATTCACCTTTTATTTTTCAAGAAATTATTAATTTCCCTCTTAAACTTGTGTAAAGTGCTGGCGTTTCATACTACCAGTGACATCTCATAAGTGTTATTCTGTTAGAAAAATTGTTTGTTTTTTTCCAAATCTGAAACTTCTGTTCTCATGTCAAAATGAAATTAGGGCCATTTATTTTATTGATCTCCACAAATATAATTGAAAAGTTCAGAAATATCATCGTTTATCCTTCATTCAGAACCATCCTAGTAGCCATCCTCTGAACTCTTTCCAATGAGTTAATGTCCTTTCTTAGATAAGGAGAGTAACATTGTACACACTGTTCTAAGTGAGCCTAACTAGTTAGGAGATAAATATCGCTCTTGACTAATAATTAATATGTCTGTAAATGCACCCTATAATCCTGTTAGCAACAGATCACTGCTTTGATGACTTGAATGACTGATCCACCATTATGCCAAAATTCTTGTCTTCATTCATGCTGTTGAATGGATTTCTATGTATATTAAACATGGGATAGAAATTATTATAACCCAAATATATTACCATGCACTTACTATAATTAAAGGTAATTTGTTAAATATTTGTCCAATAAACTATCCAAGTCAATCTGTACTACCTCAATAGAATTAGCAATATCTGAGAATTTAATGTCATAAGCGGACTTTAGAAAATTTACTAATAATAACCCTATAAATATCATTCATGTTAATAGGGAGGTATAAACTTACTGAATTATTTCTTACCATTGAAAAGCAAAGTATGGCTAATGATTTTTTTAAATGTATGCATTGCTTGGTAAGTATATGTTAATGAATAGATTAATTTATATAAATTTGAAACTTGCTTTTTAAAGTGAACATTTATATATAAACTTGAATTATTCAATTTACAGTGTAACTGGTTAATAAAATGAATAGAACAAAACTTTTTAATGCTTTTATTTTGTATTTTGTCTCAGGTGCTGTTGCAAATGCTGTAAGGGCAAGAGGAACACAAAATACAGGAATTGAAATATGTGGTAATTAAATTGTTTACCTTATTTTCAATTTGAAATATTGTGGGAAAATATGTTTGTATGTGTATTATAAATAAATTTTTATAAACAGATAGTGAGTGCATTTTTAAACCATTTCATATGTGTTTTTCTTGGTTAGCTACATTCTGTAAGCCTATTGTAAATTATATTAATATGAACTTGCTTAAGGATTTTACGACGAAGAAACACTTGATCATATAACCATTTTAATGACATTTTTAATTGAAAACAGTTGTTCTAGACTATATATTATAAATCTAAGAATTTTATATTTTGATGGTAACTTATTAAACAATAGTTATCAAATGATTTTGGCCATCTATCACATGTATGACATATCATATATTACCAAACCAGGCCATCTAATGTGTTAGTAATAGTAACTGAAAGAATTGAATCCTGGGAAGTTATCTTTATGATATATGGTTTATGCTTATATATGCTATAAATAATTGTTAGTTATATCAATTTTATCATGTTGTTTTTTCCCCTTCATTGTACAGTGCATATAGGTTATTACACCTTGCTGTGAAGTCAGTGTCTACTGCAATTGTATCTTGCTCAATTTCAAGTCAAAAATCCTTGTACAATAAAAGCTTTATTACCCATCATCTGCTAGACTGAAGCAGTGCAAGATAGGCAAAAATTCCAGTTATGAAAATGTTTCCCTTACAGTATTTTATGGGAAAATTTTTGATACCTTGTTAATGTTCTAAAATACAGTATCTCCAAGTCTTCTATAACAATAACAGTTTTAAACAATAATAGATGGTGTAAAAGCCATAACTTCAGAATTTAGAAACTGTTTACATATAAAGTAAGTACAGTGTGAATCACAGTAAAGGTGGCTAACAACTGAAGCTTACTGGCAGGGAAGAATATTAACAAAGCCACAGCAGCAGCACTAATTGGCAGAGTTGGTTAACTAAATTTGCAAACTTTTGAGAATCTGCAAGAGTGTTCAGAGACATTCTAAGTGTCATTGTGATGGATGCCTGTTCTTACAGAGAGCATTTGTATTTGGAGATGTTGAAATTTGGTTACAAGAGCTTTCCGGATGAAAAGATGCCAGATAACAAAGCTTTTTCTGCAGTACTAAATCTCTTTTTGAAATATGATACTGCCATTACTTTAACTCCTTCTTCTTGAGTTTGTTAAGAAATACTTTTTTAGTCCTGTTACCACTTTCCTTCATTGACCATTTGTAATTTTGTTGTCTTGTAGGAGTCTTATTCTTGTGAGAACTTATAAGAGATGTATCATGAATTATGCTCCATGTTTATTTATAAAGAAATTTTACATGATCTGTTACATTACTATGGCTCTCTGATGTTGGAATCTAAACACTGTTACAATTTACTCATTGCACTTTCTTATTTTACTTATGTAGCATTAACTTATCACATCTACAACTCACTAGAGCTGAATAATTAACCCTCTTTCATCTAGGCCTGGTTCTTTTTCATATATTATGATCTTTTACAGTGTTACATTCAAAATTTTAACAACTTTATTATTAATCTATGTCAATAAATTTGGCATTAAAATATAGTTTATAAAACTTTTTTTTTTTTCAAAGACAAATAAATTGTTAATGCATATTTTTCTGTGTCACATAAAATTTGATCTTCCTACCTTTTTGATTTGAGATATCAACAAATTTGTCATACCTTTTAAAAAAGCCCCTTCCCTTCTACATCTGACTTTTGAGATTGTTTGGTAATCACCTTTACATGGCTGGTAGACATGTTTATAACCAATAGGAAGAGCAGATTCATTTCTACATAATGCTATTTTATTTTGGTGCCATAGAATAACTGTTTCATGTAACCTCTACTGTATGTATGTGAACATCGTATTTCTGCTCTAAACATCTAACAGAATTTTTTAACCTATTTATATGCTATTTAGAAAGCTGGATGAATTATAGTTGTTTTTGGACATTCTATTCTAGTGGCTGATATACTCTTTGTGATCTTAAATGCTTTTTTGAAGTCTACATTAATTTGTTGTAGACATCCAAATTTGTGACATTCAACAAATGGAAGAACATCTTAAATGTTTATTTAAAACAGCTAATGGGCTGTTGCTTTGAGTTACTGTTTTTGAAATAGGTACAAAGGATATTAATAAAACCATAGAATTAAAAGAAAATATATGTTAAAAGGTTAACCATTGAAAGTGGTTTTAAAAGTAATTTGGAAATTTTTATAAATTCTGCAGGCATTGTACAGTAAAAAATGGTATTATTAGTGTTATTTCATATTTTTCATCCTCATTTCACTATACATTGACCGTTTTGCTACAGTCAGTGTTAAGGTAGAGAAAATTTGAAAGTTTTATCAAAGAAACCTTTTGGAATTTACTTAGGAGGTTTTATAGGTTGCAAACGAGATATGGAAACTATGAGAAGAAAGAAGTGTTTTCATTTTTAGCAAGAAAATTAACTTTCACTAGACTTTAATGTAAATGCTTTGTAAATTCACAAACAAATCTATATCAAAAATACTTTACTAAAAATCTAATTTTTTGTGTACAACAGATATTTAATATTTACTAAAAGTGTGTCAGATTTTTTACTTTTCATTATTATTCTCAGTTAGTTCAAATTTGTTCAACTTAACTATAGAGCCTCTGTCAGTTTAACTGACCTTGTAACCATTAATCTATACATACTATATTTCTGAATATACATAGTGTATCTTCATGATTTAAATATGGCAAGCTCTTTGTAAATATTGCAAGTATGTTGTACACAGAAAATCAGATTTTTGAATAAAGAATTTTTATTAAAGATTTATCAGTGAATTTATGAAGCCTCTACTGACTCAATCTGAGTGAAAGGTGATTTTCTTGGTAAGAATACAAGTACTTCTTTTCATTTTATGGTGTTCATATTTTATATGCATTATCTCTCAAACTTCCTTAATAAATATGAAAAGTTTTTAAAATAAAACTTTAAATTTTATCTTATATTTTCTCTACCCTAACAGTAGCTGAAGCAAAATAATCTATTTTCAGTGAAATGAAAAGTTGAAAAATATGAAGTAAAATGAATATTACCTTTTTTTTTGCTGTTTAGAATAACTGCAGATTGTAACAACCAGTTCCAAATTAGTTATCTCAACAGCTTCAAGTTCTAATTCTTTTCACATCTTCTTTCTTTTAATCTTGTGATTTATTGTACTTTGGAACCACTACAGTGCATGAAAAACAACATATCACGGTGGTACCTATTTGCTGTTTCCCTTAGAGCAGGATCAGCTTGCACATACTGTGAGCTCACCTTTCCCATCCACTGAGCTCATAAAATTTTAAGTGTTATTGAAGTCTCAATATCTAAGCTAAGAAGTTTTCTAGTTTTTATATTTTTGTTACCTTTGTTAAAGAATACATATAACTATAAATAGAAAAATTACATAAAAAACAAACATTTAATACTCACTGACACTCCAGACTGTTTTTGCACTGGAGTAATATTTATGACTGATCCTCATTGTTTCTCATAAATTTGGATCTCATAAAAAAAATAATTCGCAGTTTTCAAGTTTCTGGTCTTTCTATTGGTTATAAACATATACATCAGTCATGATTCATTACCCAACAATTTTAAAAGTCAGAAAGATGGAGGAAGGGTTTTTTCTGGTGGATTTGACAAATTTATTGATATCTCAGCAAATCAGTAAGGTAGTAAGTACATATCTGAGGGTTTTGTTTATAAGTATGTGTAGCTAATGTTCTGAATTTGCTAGAAAATAGAAGCCTATTATTGAAGTTATGTTTGTGAAATTGAGAAATTAAAGCTGAGCTGCGTCACGTTACATAGTAAAATTAATATTTAGAAATTTTAAAAATACTTCCTATTTCTATTTTAAGTTAACAAATTAGAACTTATAATACAGAGGTTGTACTAGCCTTTAAAAAACTGCATTTTTAAAACATATGCTTTCTAAAAATCTTCATTTTGAACCATAATGCCTACTTTCTTTTTACATACTTTATCAAAATAGTTAATTTCTGATGTAGCATTATTTCAGATAACTAAGTTAATATGCAAACAGTAATGTGTCACCTACAGTGCCTAATGCCTAGCACCCAAACATCGTGCCACATGCACAGTAGTATGTGGGGTACTGGATAACTCTGAAGTTATATTTGTTAAGCTTATGCATTGTTGAGACTTGGATAGTTGGAATGATTCAAAATATTAATAATTTTAGACATTAATTTTAATCATTAACTTGAATGAAATTCCCAAAAGCAAAGTATTTTATGAATTTTTGTATATAAATGACAAATAATTTTTTCATTTTACCTTTCTATAAATTTTATTCTGTTTATAAGCAGTTGTCATGTAAACATTTTCGTTCACTTAAAATATCACAAAATATGTCAGAACTGTGTTGATCTCTTGTTACATCATTATAGTTTATATCAGTGAACTTGCTTCAGGAAAAATTAAGTTGAAGGTTGAATAAACCATTCTTTCTTTACATTTATTTAATTTTTTCAAAATGGTTATTTCATATTTTTGCATTCATTTTATTTTTAATGCAATTTAATTCTATAGCCCTTATGACATGTAACTTACAAGTTAATAAAATATTTATCGTGATTTCTAAAATGTAGCTATAAATGGATTCCTTAAAATTACGAGATGGGTGATTCTTAATAAAACTGTGTTTAGCAGAGTTTGAAATTATAATATAGTTGCAATGTTGTATAAAAATAAATATCAAGCTATTTAACAGTTCAGTATTTGTAATGATTTACATTTCATGACATATCCCAGCTTATAAAATTAATTTTATTTTCCTGTCAGGTGTCATGATTTTATGTCCATAGTTTAAAATGTATATACAACCAATTGAATTGTCTTCAAGAGATAAAACTTCTCTCCCCTAAATAAGACATCCATAAATAAATTGTTACATTTTGCAGCATGTTTTCAGATAGGTTAAACTAACAGTCATAAGCCACTTGAAAATTTGATTTATAAATAAAGTGTAAAATGTAATAATTCATTTTGTTACACTTGAGTACTTTAAAACTGCATAAAATAGTAGTGTTTTTCAAAGAGCATAAACATGTGTTATTGTTTTAATTATAGGTCACAAGGAAAACTTATTTTTAAATTGAGTGACCCATATCGGAATTCCTGATATCTGTTTATGTAGCTATAAGTAAGTTATTCACATTACTTTAAACTAAGAAAAAATTGAAATGTTTCATAGTACATCTATATAATATTTTTTGAACACACACAGAACAATTACAGATGAATAGTGTAGTTCCCTCAACCCTTACAGAATACAAAGATAACCACTCGTACATCAGACCAGGTTAGTCTTTTTATTATATATATATATATATTAGCAGTTAATTGTTATGTTATTTAAGAATTTATATCTTGTGAAATTTATTTAGGCAACTTCTTTTCTCATTCAATTCCAAGGGACCTAGTTTTGTGTCTTCTTCATATATTGATAAACCAGTATTTTTCTTTGATTGGTATATCTTTTGTTTGAATAAAAATTTTAAAATGATTTGTTCACAAATCTTATTTTAAGTGGAAATAATAAAGTTACAGAATCTGTGTATATCAGTATTTTTTTTATTTAGAAACTTTACAACTTCATTTTTAATATGAAGAAAAATTACAAATTACAAAAAAGCAAACTTTTATCATTATTGTAGTGCTTCTTTATATACGTTTCAGAATAGGCTTTTGTATTTATACTTAACAAAAAAATTAAACAAATATTGACTGTTGACTAGATCTTCTGTACCCTTCCTTACCAAACACTGAAAAACCTTCTCATAGTCAACACTTTCCATATATATGCAGTAGTAAATATGTTGGTTTCTGTTAGCTTCTGATAGGTGACCTTCAGTTCTTTCTTATGTGTTTCTTTGTGATACTTGTAAGCAGAAAGACTTCTTTTCTTATGTACCACTGACTTAAAACCTGAGTTTTCAGTGGTTTTCATGAAAGTCTTTATGGATGCATTTTGATTTTTCTTGTAGACTCCTTTTTTTTTTCCCTTGTACTCTTTAATTGAAATTGCAGAAAGTCATTAGTCAACTTGTGATCTTTGCTTCCCACTTTTGGGTCTTACTATCATACCAGTCTGTGAATAGGGCATACTGGGTTCATTACATGTAGGCGTAAAAAGTAGAATAAGCTACATAACATCAATTTCTAATTTGTAATTGCAATTTCATAGTGCTGGTATTATAACCACATTGCAGTTAATTGTAAAGGTATCACATGAATGAAATGATAGATAAAATATTAACAGCAGTGTTGGATACTAATCTTATGCAATTCTTGGAGTACCTACTATTTTCACTACAATGTTGTTTTTTTTTGTTTGTTTGTTTTGTTATTGTAAATCTGGGTTCCACTTTCATTTATATATTTTGTAACATTACTCTCCAAACTGGGCTGTAGAACTAATAAGTGTGAAGTAAGGAACCTGTCAGTTTTCCTTTTATCATTTCTTAATATGTTTATATTTTTTGCCTAAAACTTGGGCAGCTTAAAATGTTTTTGTTTGTTGTGAGCTGTACATGTATATTATGCTATTTTGTATCAAATGGTTTTTTGATTGGTACCGAGTCTTTTCAGATTTATTTGGTCTTCACAACATGAGATATGAAAGTTCTCATTCTTTTTGTTCATTAAAATTTCCAGAGCTAACCTTCAATGAAAAAATAAGTTTGTTAATTACATCTGTTTGGCAGATGTGGCATCCCAGTATTGAAATACTATAGTTCAATTTATCAGTAAACATTCCAAGCCTATAATATATGTCCTGCTATAGTGAGAATGTTGTGTTTAGTGTTTTCCTGATTTGCAATGTTTATTTTATTCAACAAGAATTTGGTATTTTTAATGTAGTGATCTTGTGAAAATTTCTAGGAAGTAACCCAAGAAATGCTATTAATTATATTTTCAGCTTTTTACAGATTTCATTCTACATTGTTGATATATTTTCATGTACAAAAATTTTCTATTAAAGAGCAAATTAAATCTAAATTATTGTACCTGTAGATGTCTGTCATATTAAACAAAGGGTAGTTTGAAAATATCTTTAAAATAAACCCAAAACAAGTTGGAAGTAGGAATATTAATTGAATGTAATCAATTAATGAGCCCAGTTATCAAGTGAATAGCAAATTCTGCTAATTGCCCAGCTCTACTTGGCCAAAATTAACCAGTAAATACTAAGCATTATGATAGACCATCAGTTATATATACAGAATTAATCTTGCAGATTAGTACAACTTTTCAACCAAGACCTGAATGACATAATCTAATATAAAGAACACAAGTTTCCTTACCCATATGTTGTGTTAACACTCCTATTGTACCCAAGCTTGCATATTTCCATAAACTTCAATTAATTTCCTGCATTCCCTTAACCCTTTCAAGACAGGTCATAGATGAAAGGCCATGTCATCTTGTATGTTGACTTGCATTCAAAATTTTATTGAACTACTTTTTTATGAATTTATGTCAATGAGTTTGGTATCAAATTGTAGATTATAATTTTTTTCTCCTTGCTTACAGCAATTTTTCATTTCCTTACCTTGATTCTCAGTCTTTGGTATCTTGTTTACTTGCTTAGGGTGCAGCCTGTTAACATCAATTTCCTTCTAGTGCCCAATTTTCACACCTTTGTCTCTTTCCTACCATCTTCCGGTGTTACCTGTCATCACTTTACCTTATTTCTGAGGCACTTCATCACTCTCTGGAAGAGTATTGTGGGGAGATTTGTTTTCTTCTTTTCACTATGTTGGTCCATATTTCTTCTGCTGCTCTATTCTTTCTTACTTTGTTTCTCTTCTATTAGAACTTGTTAGGATGGGATGCTCTCTTAGCTGATGTACACAACATCCCTCATACTTATCTCTGTGATCTTCATCAGGCTCTATTTCTTTGCACGGAGGTCTTTGGGGGGTGTACCTGACTTGCTAGAGACCTGGGCCGAGGCAGTTCTGCATCAGTCCTCTTTGACTACTTTGGTTTGTTGTCTTTCTCAACCTTGCCCTTCTGTTTCTGTGCCTAGGCCTGCTGAATCCTGCAAACAAAAATATAGTGATGATACAGTTATACCTACATTACTTTCAATATTAAAATGTAATGGTACACTGTAAAATGCAGTTGGAAGTTATATATATTCCTGACTGTTGTAATGCAGTTTGTTTATCATAATATCATGGTCATGTCAGGATAGGCATCAGTATATTGTAACTAAGAGCCTAGGACTTACATACAAGGAAAACCAGGTTGAATCAAAACATGTCTTATTACAGACTCTTGCTTTCCATTCAAGCTTCTCGTACTCCCACTTCCCAGTATCAGGGCTGTCAATCATTTCATTGGTAACTACCCTGTTGGGTCTGGCCCTGTGGGAGCTTGTCTGTTTCTCTTCACCAGCCTTTTGTCTACATTTTTGGCCAACAGATGGGTTCTTCAGTTTCTCACCCACAGCCTATTTCTCCACTTCTCCTCCTTCCCTTCCCCTTTTTCTAGTTTCTTTTCCTCCTCCCACCACTCCCATTTATCTTCAGCATCTTGAGGATGCAGTCTCGGACCTCTTAGCCAAGAACGTCATACAGTATTTACCCAACTCTGAGTTATTACTCTTGTCTCTTTGTAGTCCACAAGAAGACCAGGGACTGTTGTCCAGTTATCAACTTGTCATATCTTTACTGATTTCTTGTCATCCCTTGGTTCTGTATAGATGTTTTTTTCTCTCTCCTTTGGTTCTTTTCACCAGGTCTGTAGATGACCAGGGTCAACATACCTCTACCATGGTAGCCCCCCCCCCCTAGTATCTCCATCTTTTCACAGATGCTTCACTGTCCAGATGGGATGCATCTCTGAATGAAGGCATGACTTGCAGAATGTGGATTTCAGAGAAGCATTCATTCCACATCATTCTCACTGTCTCTTGGGTATATTTCCAATTCTGAGAATTCCATGGTAATTTTTTAAATATACTCTGTCAGGAAGGTACCCATTCCAGGACTCTTTGCTTCCATGCATTGGACATACTGTTAAGGGCACATCCCCATTGGTTTGTCTTGTAGTTTGTTGTATGCCAGGGTTTCTTGCTGATGAATCATCTCTCTTGGCCAGACAGGATTCTAACTGTAAAGTGATCTCTCCACCCTCAGGTTTTCTGTTTGGTTTTCTCTCAATTGGGCACACCTATTGTCAATACCTTCACCACTCCTCTGAACACCAAACTTCCCCTCTTCTGGTCTCTTGTTCCTCATCCTTTGGTCCTGGTGGGCAATGCTGTCAACCAGGACTGGTCTCACCCCTTTTCTGCAGGCCTACCTACCTTTTCATCTTCTCCTTTGTGACCTCACTTTGATGTGTCACATTTTATGAAGTTCTGCTGGTGGTGCCTCTTTGGTTGGTACAACCCTTGTTTACACTGCTTTGTAAATAGGTATCTAGGTCCTCTCTTTCACTCAGAAGTGTTGTTTCTTCATCTTCACATGTGGAATCTGGTTCATTGCCTGGAGGACTAACCGTTTAGCCTTTTTTTTCCCCCATTCCTGTCACCTTTCATCTCTGTCTGTTTTTCAATGAAAGTTGTGGATTTTTCAAAGTTGGTCCATCTGCCATTCCCTTCCTCTGGGCTGTCTTACTGTGGTCCACCTTTTGGCTCTTTTCACATGGTTGTTTGACCATGCATTGCCAGTTTCTTCCACTGCTGGTTTTCAGGTGGCTTTATCAACTACATTTTATCTTTCCCATTACTGCCAAGTTTTATTTCCCTATCATCTGCACTTTGCTCATATCCATTTTTTCTTCACCAACCCCCTTGTCCTACTGTCTTGCTTAAATGGGGCTTTAATGTAGTTTTATATGTTCATACAACTCTGTTCAAGCCATTGGCTTCACTTTTGTTATAACATATTTCTCTGAAGGCATATTTCCTTCACCTTTTCACCTCTATGTCATCTTCTGTATCTGGTTTCAGGCTGTTTGATATTATTTGGCATGTATGTCTCCTTTTTTTGGGTTCCTGTCATTGTTTGCTTATACCTTGGGATCCCTCTTCATACAGGGATCTCTCATCTTTTACCCTTACAGGGTGCATTTGCCAACTTCTTTACTTCCCTGGATATTAATGCTCACAGGCTCTTCCACATTTTGTCACATCAGCTTTGTCACATCTCACTTTTGCTAACCACTGGATGAGATCCTTCAGGTAGGCATGTGGATGACTCCACACATCTCCCATTATTTTCATCATCTGGCTATTTCATCTTCTGTTGTATTTTGACTCCCTCCTTTCGGTGTTCTTCAATTTAC